TACAGTGTACAAAAAGAAGAGCGTGTGTGACCATTTTATTTTTAAGGACCAGAGATATTCTGTGAAAATCAGAAGATCAAAGGAGGCACAAGGGATTTTTTTTGTCTATTATTGTTGAGAATAGGAACAAAACACGAAGACAGAGAATAGACTTAAAAAAGAGAAAATGTTGTATGCGACAAATTGGAAATTGTAAAAAAGGATGTGAACTACAAAGTCAGTAAAAGGTTAGAGGTATGTGACTGAATTGTTGGAATAATAATGTTTGGGGTGTTGGCATGTAAAACAGAAAGCCAGCAAAACTTGTTTCATAAGATATAGACTTCGGAAGTTCTCATCTCAACCATTCATGAAGCTCTATATTCTTCTCCACCGTCATATTTATATATAATTTTAAGGTGGAAACAACAATCACCATCTATTATATTGTTAAAAAAAATAAATCACAATTTAGATGGTGAAGCACTGTCAAATAAATATTTATAAATTAGGTTAGCTCCAGGTGTGCAATGATCTCTTGTTCCTTGTATTTGAGGATGATTAATTTCTTGAGGATATCTATAACAGATTTAATGAAATCAAATAATTATAAGCCAGTATATTAATTCAAGTATCATAACTCGCTAGTTAGAGGTTCTTACAGACAACAATTATGGTTCTTACCACTAACTTGTCATCAATAGATACAATAATAAGTATACCATTATTAAAGCGCAGTCAAATTAGAGTTTCTATAGAAATAGAAATTTCAAAAAAAGAAAAGAAAAAGAAGTTTCGTTGCTTCAATATCTTTGAAATTTGAAAGTTAGATCTTCTATAATTGCGTTATTAAAAAATGAAGGTGATGAAATGAAGGAACGTTCTACCTGCCAATTAAATTTAAGTACTCTCTCTTCATTAAGTATTTTTTTTTTATTATTTTATTTCTGTTCACAAAACTTCAACAAGATGAAGTTAGAAAGGAGCAACTCTCCGTTAAACAGACGGAGGCTAATTCAACATCGTGTTGAGGACCAAATTTCTAAAAGCATAATCTAATTAAGTTGCAAGTACAATCGTTATTTATTTATCTAATAATTACACTCTATTTTCCATAGATAAAAACTTATTAAAATATCAATGTTGTACCTATATTCTAAAGAAGTCGTCACGTATTGTAATTTGACGCGAAAACGGTCTTATCCAACTATCTGCTATTACTTGGTCAAATTAATGGATGATACTAACTGAATAATTCTTTACACTGTAATAGGTGGGTTGATGAAGAAATTGTAGCATGACCCATTTTTTGACAAGTTGTGATGTGAGCAAGGAGTAATGAATGAAGGTGATGAGAAAAGTGAGGAACTGTTTGAAGGAGCCCACAAAGCATCAATCAGTTGATAACAGTAAGATTTGTTTGGGGCAGGAAAAGATGTTACCAAAATCATAATCTGCCCCGGAAATGCCGTGCGCTTTGATCGAGACCAATCTCCATTCTATTAATAAATTATGTAATAGAGAGTAGAGACTTGCTTCAGTGGACCCAAACAGAAAGCAAAATGTCATCACTCTACCAAATAAATCACTCACAGATTCATCCAATTATATACCTGCTGCTGCCCCTAAACTTGTCTCCATGTGTCAACAAATTATGGGAAACTTTTTCATATAAAATGATAGTCAAAAACAAATTAAAGTTATCTAATAAATTACATTTTACAAAATTAAGATGAACATTTTGTATTAGAAAGATTAAAGCAGATGACTCTTTCAATATCCAAACCAAATTAAGAATTTAGTTATGGAGATTGGAGAAGTAGGTTTTCAATGAAGAACAATATCTCTTTACTGATGATATTCCCACAATTTGATGAGTAATTTCAAAAATATTTGGTGTACAAAATTAAGGACCAGTTACCATTTATTTATTTTTAATTTAAGGAACAAATTAAAAATATTCAAATAATTTAAAGATGTTGATATATTAAACCTTTAATTTCAAGTTCTTCCACGTGAAATTCAGAAATTGAAGATGAAGATGATAGTAATTTTTTATTTTATACTAATATCTTAAAATTTTATCTTTAGACTGATCTGATTTAATCCAGAAAAAAAAAATGATAATAATGCTTTATGCATAAATAAAAAAATGAAAGGAAATGAATAACAAATTATTTCTTCGTTGTACCATCGTACCAAACTTAATTCATTATCATATCTCGTAAGTTCGTACTACATCAGCAAACTAATGTAACAATCACCGTTTACAGGTTATGATAAAATTTCTCTATTAATTTCAATTGAATGATTGAGTTGAGTAGAACAGAATTCTTTATTTGTCAAGTCACAAATTTAAAATTTAAACCTTTACAAGTATTTTTGTTTAGGATGAGATAATAAGTGGGTTTGAAGAACAGCCAAAAAAATTTATCCTTGTGGTAATATCGTGAAAAAGTAAAAACAAATATTTGATGTCTGTCTTCACTATATATGATTTTTGTTTTTGACTATTCTCAACATGAAGTTATCCAGATACACTACAAGTCTTCTATAAATGGTTTTTAAGTTAAGAGACACTTTCTTAATTAAAAGGTCATTTTCAAAAACACGGTAAAAAATCTCCATTACAAACGAAACGATACAGTAGAAGCACTTGAATAAGCAATTTTTAAGATCTTTATAATAAATAGTTGAATTGAAATGTTGACACATATCACGCTACTTCTTTAATTTAAGAGTAGCTTCACCTACTTCCATGGAAGTGACCAATTTTGTCGCTTCCATCACCGGAAGTTATTGCAATTATCAAACATCTTTGTCCACGTTTTATTATTATATATTCTATTCATCGCAAGAGAATGACCTTTTCAACAAAATATGAACCTAAGTCCAACATTATGTAACGATTCTGATTATTTAAGACTTAATGTCACTTGAAAAATTTAGCAAATGCTCATTTCTAAACTTTTATGAAGCGGTAACTTCTCAGCATTTCTCCGGTGATCATGAAAAAGGAACGTACTAAACATTGTCAACCGATTATGATTTGCTACCAACAAAGAACACATTTATTTGTTATCAATTGTTAATAATGGAATCTCACGTTAAGTGTATGATCTTATTAAGTAATACAAAATAAATTACTATCAATTTAATACTATTTGAACTAATCAAGAACTTTGGAATAGTTATGAATTAAACTTTTTAAAAAGCAGCAAACTAAAGTGACAACTAATCAGAACACAAACAACTTTGAAATTTTTATAGGATTCAGTAAGGCACAAATCCCTTTCCACTATGCAATTTAGTTCACGTTCAATATAAGTTATAACATAAAATTGAAGTTTAAATCAGCAAAAATAAGCTAAGTTTAATTCCTTGGTTCATAATCCTATAACTTTAAGTCATACTTTTTGATCTATTAGATAATTTCCATTTTGATTAAGCACTAGAAGAAATGTTTCATATGAACACGAAATCATGAATATTTATTCCTAAAATCATCATAATCATGGCAATCAATCCCGATTCCAACATTACACCTAATTTTTCAATCGCAATATAAACACAAAAATAAATTCAACAATGGATAATTTTAGAAATATATTAAGCAAATAGATGATAGCGCAATTATCATATAATAAGTTCATGTAGAGTTAAAAAAGTACATAAGAATTCAATTCAATTTCAGCTACCCGAATATAACATGAGGGAATCTAGCTATTCGTGCTTAAACACAAAGAACTAAGAGTTGGAAGTGCATGAATGGTGCATTGAACTAGCTAGATCCTTTCCAAAACCTTCAAACACTTTCAACAATGGTGAAAGTCTCTTATTCTCTTTGCTCTACTCTAGTCCAAATATGTTTTCTTTCTCTAAAAAGTTCATTTATATCATTATGATTCCCATGTTGGAGTCCTAACTTACATGTTAGCGTTTGACGCTTGAGAAGTATGTTTAGTGCTTTGAAATCTTATAACAATGAAATTATATGTTTTCTACTATTTAATGTAGTATAGACACCTCGCGTTTCCAAGGAAATTGATATGCAAAAGTCTAAACACTATATGGTAATATTTAATATCAAGATTTTAAATTACAATTACAATTTTGTTCTGCTCTTTGATATAATAAGAAAATTTGAATAAATATAATTGATGGAATAAAAATTGTAGTCATATTATGATCACAAACACTCCCAAAAATCTTAATATTATAGTTAAATCCCAATCATAAATAATTTTAACAAAATCGTAGCTAACACCCACCAAACTGAGGCAAATTGACATCTTAATTCTTAGGCTTTTACATTCAAGAATCTAGAGCTACTAGTTTGTTGGATCTTGCATAAATATGTGAATGTAGCGATTGAATATTGCATGCTAATGATAAGTGCTTAATGTAAAACTTCAATTCTATGCATGAATTAAATATATAAAAAATCAATAAAAAAATCTTCTTAAAATATGCAATGTCAAAAGTATGCAATAAATTTCCTGGTGCTTAATGTACAACTTGAATTCTATACAGAATTAAGTATATAAAAAATTAATCAAAAACCTTCTTAAACTATATTATATCAAAACTATACAATTAATTTCTAAAAAATATTAAGAAATTTAAACTTTTCTGCATGTTTTTCTCAAAAGTGTTACACGAATATATATTTATTAGAGTTAATTATCCATATACTCTCAGTGTAAAGTTTTTTATACCGACAACTAATCATATCTTTTAAATTATTTTATTTTATTTTTATTTAATTAAATAAGCAAATGACATGATACTATTAAAAGATATAACTATTGTTAGTATAAATTTTTTTTACACTGACAGTGTACAAGTCATTAACTCTATTTATTATAGATTTATCACATGTCTATATATAGAATAGAATTTTGCTTTTCTTCAAGCAAACATTAAAGATCAAAATCAAAAGGCAAAATAAAATTTGTAAATAAGATCTTATCCTACAACATTCACTAAAAAACAAGTCTTTTATTTGAAAACATAGAAGCATAGAGCAAGTCATCATCACTTTCTTTCGTTGTGTTGTTATTGTTACTATATCTATAATTCTTATTAATATTATTGTTATCGATATAGCTATCACTACCTCACCAAAAGTAAGATTAAATCAAATAGTGTTGAGTGAATTGAAAGTTTAGATTTAAAATTTTATCTTCAATTTTGAAAACTTAAAATAAATTGAAAATGATAAACTAAAAACTAGTATTAGCTTTTAAAATTTTAAAATCGGTGACTATATCAATAGGGGGCTCAAGTTTAAAATTATCCATATATTAGATGACAAAAATAATCATTTGATACTGTCGAACAAATGAATGATTAGTAAGACAAAAATATTAAATGCTTTCTTGAATAAGATTTTGAGTCTGAGCCTAAGTATGAAAATTGAAAAAAAAAAATTAATAAAAATTAGTCCCACTTTATATTGTAGATGTTTCCAACTTGAATAACATTATTCCAAGATACCCTCTTAAAAAAAAAAAGTTATCCCTATATATTCGTGTTCTAAAATATATATAACATTTAATATTATGTGGAATTATAAGTTCAACCAAACATGATTTTTCCCCTTTTAACAGTTGTGATCCATTATTGAGCATTGATCTATTTTTTCATCTGATTCGGTTTCACCGTTCCAGGCAACTTATAGGTAATAACTATTATTGCGCTGATATATCTTCTCGAAATCTCTACGAAACAAATTTAGAAAATATTTTCGATTCAATATTTTTTTTATTAAATTTATGCTGTTATACTATATAATGCTATATGTATATAATTTAACGTTACATGTAATTTATAGCATATATTTATCGAATGTTTTTTACATTTTTTTTAATGTAACACTTTTTGTACTCTAATTGCGATCAATTTAATCTATTTATCTTTGCATGAAGCAATTTTTCAGTACTCTTGCCATACTTATTCTGAGAATAATCTTAACTGGAAAGAAAAAAATATACGAGTATAACACAGTAATAGAGTGTAATCTAATAGAAGCTTTTAAGTGTTGCTTGTCTTGTGTGCATTAGATTACACTCTTATATCTGATTCACCCCACAAATTAGAGCTATAAGGTATCTTTAATTGATGCCATTATAATACAGGCTGAACGGTAACAATCATAAATATCTCAGCACAAAATGATCAGGATTTGACCAAGTTTCCTGAATGCAATACAGAACAGAAAAATGACCATGCAGGCAACCATTGGTGAATAGTTCCAATCTTTTTACAAGCACAACCAGACGAGACATGCATTGTGATGCTCCGGCTGGTTTAATGGAAAAACCTATAAATCTTGTATGAAATATGGTAATATGAACAATTGGATGACTGGATTTAGTTTACCCATCAAGAAACAACAAACTCTCATCATCGAAGATCAATGACATCAAATTTTAAATTTGGGTTCATGTAAACATCTGTACATGTATCGTAAATGGGACCACCATCTGGAGGTTGATTATGTGGATGAAAGCCACGTTGCTGGCATTGTCTAATGACCGACATTCCACCAGGGGTTGTCAACCGAAAAATGCCATGGTTTCTGTACATGTAAATCGATACAAGTCATTTCGAAATAGACAATCTTTCGGCACCGAAATTCAGTACCTTTTTTTATGTGTAAAACAAAGATTCTAGCTAGTTTGGTTATAGTGGGGCAAGAATAGTAAACAAGCTGCCGTAGGAGAGGCACAGCCAAGAGGGAAACCCTTATATTAATGTTTTATTTTTATCTTTTTAAATATTTTTCTTAGCAGCTAGAATTTTGAAGAATCATGTTATTAATACAAAGTATCTACTGACTTCACTGATAACTAATCTACATTATAAAACTTGATTGACTATTTTTAATGGAGAAAGACTTCATGAATTATTTGTAATTGCAAAGTACCTACCAAACTCAAAGACAAGTTTTGTCGTACTACTATATGCCCTACTATACTCTATAGTAATGAATATTAGACATTAAAGAGGCGAGAAAAATGAGACCAGTAAAAATGAGAATGTTAAGATGAATGTGGTGACAGAAGAAAAGACAAAACACGAAATTACTATATACATGGAGAGATTGGTGTAACATCAATTAAGAAAAAAATTACAAGAAATTAGTTAAGGTAGTTTGGACACGTACAAAGAAGTCCCCAGGACAGGAGACACCACTGAGAAAAGTAAATTGCATGATTTTTAGTCATATGAAGAAATGAAAAAGGACACCTAGAAGGACAATGGAGAAAGTTGCCAAAAAAAATTTCAAGATAAATAACATCTTTGAAACTTTGGTCTTTAATTGGGCCGAATGGGATTATGTGATCTACGTAATCAACCTCTCCTTGTGGGATAAAACTTTGTTGTTATAGTATATTTTTCTAAGCAACTCTCGTTAGCCGACTTAAAACCCGTCAATATACCTAACATGGGTACTTAGCTAGTATTTTTAAAGGATTGATCTCTCTGAATAAGGATTTTACTGAAAAGGTTAAATTAATTATTTGGTCTCTATAACTGAAATTCATTCAAAAATCAATCCCTGAATGAAAAAAACTTGGTTTTAGTCCCTCTAAAGACGAATAGGGACAAAATCTTCAGGTACTAAAACATGAGAAACATAGTAATGACAAGGACCAATATGTACTAATAAGGGTGTATAGGGACTGAAATTTAAGTATTTTTCATACAGGGGCTACTTCCTAATATGAGTGTCATCTATAGGGACCAAATAATTTGTTTAACCTATTAAAATATTTTAGAACTATCGTGGAATTAGAGTTATATAAACATTTCTCTATGAGATTACATATAAAAAAAAAATTAGGGAGCCTAGGATTTGAAGCCACGTTATGCAGTAATTATGAATAAAATATCAACTTCTTAATTATTTTATGGATATACTTTCTTTGCCATTTTCCCCGTCAAAACACATTTTGAGACACGATGTTACCTTGAACTGTCTGTTGGTGCCATAACTATTGCAACAGCTTCTGGCAGCATAATCTATATAGACAAGCATTTCATAAGATACAAAGAAAAAATATAAAGAAAATGCCAGCACAATAAAATGTACTTAGCTTGATTATTAATTGAAAGCATAACAAATGTGTATGTGAGACAGGCATCCAGTGCACTACAAATAGTTTCATCTTAAACAAAAATGATAAAAGAATAAATTTTAGCAAAATCACCAAATTTCTAAGAGATTGATCACAAAGCAAGGTACAGTAAAAACGGATTTTCAGGTATATGGTAAATTATAAGATGTATATCAAATTATACATTTATACTCTCAACTATATGTTTGATAAATAAAGATCAAAAACTGAATCTAGGACGAGTAGTTGCAAGTCTTCATTTTATAAAATTGTGCAGGAAATTTAATCTGAGTAACACAGATGTTTCCATTCAAAGATCTCTTTTTTCCTATCATTTCCTCATAGAAAATAGCAGAAATATATCTCAAAGACCAAGGCAAACAAAATAAAAATCTCAACTAAAATGGGTGTGTAGATCAATTCACCTGATATGAGTAATGAGTGTGTAGATCAATTGATGACATGAAACAAGATTGTGTAGGATGTGTCTGGCAATGCAGAATTATGTGTTAGTGTTGCAACATGGGAATACTAACAAATTAAAAATACGAAATTTGGATACAATACAAATGAAACTGAGGAACATTAACAACATTCTCCTTTCAACACTCTTTATTAGGCCCACATTTTAATAGTAGAGCTCAGATGGAATTTCACCACAATAAAAAATACAGCATTAAGAAGAGTGTCCAAACATTTTTCAACGAGACTATAGAGTAAGTGACACAAAAAGAAAAATCATTCTTTGGAAGTCAGGAAATAGAAGGAAAAAAAAAATCAAAACCCCAATCTGTTTCCTCCAAACACAAATGAGGCACAAATTAGCAAACTCTGTTTTCTTTTCAAATGTCATATTTTTCACCTTTCTTGGTTGTGGAAGGAAAAAGTGCTTATATACTATTTTGAAGCATTCTCCATCAGCATATCTCTACTTTTATCTAAACCAGCTTGGGAACATAGTGCTCTAAAAGTTTAGGAAAAATGCTCTAGGTGCATTCTCCGTTTGTAGTTCTGTTTAGGGTTTAACATAGAAAGCCTGCTTTCCCAAGTAAATAAATTTAACATAGAAAGCATGGCTGCAAGAGGGCTTTGCACAGTATAATTTTTTATTTTTTTTAAATATAGTGGCCTCCCATGCACTCTCCAAATTATGTGTTATCTCTTCGGTCACGAGTAACATATTGCCATGATGTACATCTCACCCGCCCCAGACTCCAAAATGGTGAGTGCCTTATGCAAATGCTGACCTTTAATTTCTAGTATTAAAATCTCCAGGTTTCCAATATTTTCTGGTATCAGTGCAACATAAATAGAATATCTGGAAATTTGTGGCTACGTGCACTTGCAGCAGGCAAAAGCCAGTAACTAGTCACCTACTTGCAGAAGCAATCTCACCATGCAATGACCAAAAGTTTAAGGTCATTTCTGGGGAACATTTTAATCTACATATTTACGAGTATTGTAATAAAAAACTAGACATTTAATTTCATATGCCAACAATTTGTTCTGTTGCAAAAGAACTAAAAAAACTAATGACATCAGCAATGGAGCAAAGTGCAAACCCTAGCATATACTATTGTAGAATACAGTATATAGATAATTTACTGAAAACATTGTGATAAAGGGTCAATAAGTTCAAGAACAATTTATAACCAGTGCCCACATGCAGAAAACTGAACTCACGTGGATCCACCCAAGGGGGAAAAGAGATTGCTTATCTTGCACTTCAAATATCTCCTCTTCATTTGTAGCTTGACACTGCTCAAGAAGTACAACAAATGTGACAAATTTAGAATAAATAATTGTAAAAGATATTACTCAAGGATTATGATGAATATTTCTTACAGAACTGGATGTTGCCTCCTGCTTTGGGATTATTAGAGCAGTAATATAAAATTTTCTGTTTTTCTGCAGATCAGTTGTATTAGCAAAATAGCAATCAATATCTCATAATTTAAGCTAGGAGATAGATCCAAAGTTAAAACCAACCACACTGGTGAAAATTTTAAGTATGCAGTGTATAAAAATACATTGTGTATAGCAAATTCATGCCCAAACACACATCAACAAAAGACAAAGTCCACAATATTGGGCCCACATTTCTTTTTGGTTACTGGAATCCAGCAGTAGGTTAACTTTGTCTCTAAGATGGTAAATGTACAACTTTTAATACAAGAAGAAAAAATTATGTAGGTGATGTATAAATAAATAAATATATATATATATATATGGGTCCCAACTCCCAAGATAGTCATGGATCTACCCTTGCTTGTTGCTTTAAGTTCAAAAACATGAAAATCACTTACAAGCAAACCTGCAAGGATACCACAAGTCTCTAAATTTTTGTCAGTGTTTGACTTGGCAAGCTTCATAAAACTCTCCATCATAGAAGTTGACTGCAAATAGAATCAAATATCAGGAATAGGGAATACTTCCATACTTTTGTCAACAGTTTTGATTTTGGAAATGGTAAAGTATAGATGTGAAGAAACTATATACTTAAAATGAAAATAGCTATTCCTCCCTATAAATGAACCTAAAAAAAGTGTTGAGAAAGAGAGAAAATGGCATGTGGTGAATTATAAAGAGCATATATTTATATGAAGGGTCATAAATACAAAAATAATTACAAGAATATATAGTTAGTCTAACATAATTGCATAACATATAATCTGCTATTAACATTATTATTATTATTATTATTACTATTACTACATTACTTCTAACACTCCCCCCTTAATCTGGAGCATATAAATCATTTGCACCAAACTTGCTACATATATAACTGACTCAAGGACCTCCCAATGACTTGGTGAAAAGATTCACCCATTAATCATTTGAATTGAAAAAGTTAGTGAATTGATAATGAGCCATGAGTCTATCAAGCCTTCAAATTAGATTATGAGCAAAACACGTAAACCCAAAAACAAAAGGCGTAAAGTGGACAAACTTACTAGTTAGATATTTTTGTTGTAAAGACTAGAAGATTACATCCAATTAATGACATAACAAGCTGTAAGGACAGCATCACCCCCAAAAACAAGGAGAAATACTACCATAAAACCAGCATCCAAATTGTTTTGTCAGATGTCTATTTTTACATTAAGCAACCTCAAACTCATTTTGTTCAGGAGTATAAGCACAAGGTATTTGATGAAGAACGTCATGTGAAGCCATAAAAGATTGAAATTGTTGAGATAGATTTTCACAGGCATTAACACTTTGTACAATGCAAATGGGAACTCCAAATTGAGCCTTAATTTTATGAAAAAAAGAAACAACTCCAAAATGATTTTTCACTAAGAATAACCAAAGAACATTAGGGATAACCATCAATAAAAGTGATAAAATATCTTGATCACTATATCGATATATAAATAGAACCACAAGCATCAAAATGAACTAAAGTAAAAAGATATGTAACACGACATGTGACAGCAACGGTGGTGGCTAGAAACCAGAAAAAAAAAAATTTGAGATTCAACGTGATAGAACCAAAAACTAGAGTGAAGGCAGAATTTTCAAAGGGGATTGGCACCAAGAGGAAATGGATCCACCAGGCAAGCATGGATTAAGGTTACCTCTCTTTTAGGCTCTAGATACCATGTTAAGAAAGAGAGAAAATGAGAGGCATGTGATGAATTCTGTGTGTTTAATTTATGCAGTGCAGCATATATTGATATAAGGGATCATAAATATAAGCACAAATAAAAATATTACAAGAATACAGTTACTCTAAGTAGCATAATTAGATAACATATAACCTACCCTATTTACATTATTACTAGAATGAGAATCACATTAAAGAACAGGAAAACATCAAAATATGTTATTAACTCTTACAATGTGTAGTTGCAGAGGAGACTCAGCACGAACAACACTTTCTGCTGACGGAATCTCTGTCTTACATCCTCCCTCATTAACAAAAGGTGACACAGCCGGAACCAAATCTTGTACTTCCGCAAGTACAGGTGGAGGAGAAGGCTGTCTGGTAACTTCAATTTGAGCAGGGATTTCTGTTGCTTCAAAAGAGATCAGAGAAGGAGCTTCATCAGCATGCTTTGCCTGGCAGTCGTCATTCTGGGTAAGAATTGATTCTAAATCTGATCTATGTTGTTCTGAGATGTTATTATCTTTTTTATTCAGAGATCCATCTTCCAAGGGTTGTTGAAGGCTGTTTGTTCAGACAGAGAATACAAGAGGATGGATTTAGTTAATATTAAAAGTAAATAGATAAACCAGCTCAAGGTGCATTAAGGACAATAGCATCTCTTTTTTTATCCAATGGGTGGGTCAAAGTAGGCTTTGGAGGGGAAGGGGATAAGGGATGGGAAAAGGGTGGATGTTGCATAGCTTGACCAACTGAACAAACTCAAGGGACATCAAGGATGATAACTTGACAAGCCTCAAATTTTATACTATACGTCAAATAAACCCTTTTTGAAATAAATTATATAAATAAAGTATCATTATTTAGAAAGTCCAACAACATAAAAAAGAACTACAGATACATAAAATAGGCCATAACCTTGGAATTTCAACTGGAGACAGATCTATGATGGTTGGATACCTGACCTACATCCACATAGAACATTCAGGATGATCTTTGAACAGAATTGAAAGACAGCTTAAATACTAAGCATACCCCTTTATCACTTGCAGGTGGTCGCCACTGCCCTTTCAGCCCATTGGGACCTAGAATAGAATGCTTGGAGAGAGTTTCCTCCTTTGGACGTGGGAGACTTAGAGATCTAAAGAGAGCAAGCATAATCACAAGGGTAATCAAAAAAAAGTATTCATCTAGCATTATCAACTTTCATAAGCAGAAGTCTATTATGACAATCAAAGTAACCAAACAAATTTTAAAAAAAACAAACATTTGCATAACTTCATGCCTGCAGAGAGAGCAAGTAAAATAATTTATGCAGTACTGATAACCATAAGGAGGCGAATCATACAAGAAGTCGTCCAAATGCTAAATACTTACAGTCTCCTCATATTATCTTCCACAGGCCTCACACTAGAAAACTGCTGGCCCCTTGATCCATGGTAAAAAAACTCTCTAGTGGTTGGTATGACTGCCTGGTCACATATACAATAACATATGGATACAAAAACTTCTTTGGAAGGGGAGGTGGGGAGCATAGAAATAGTTAAAAAGCATTCAAACATAAGAATAAGTGTAATTGTAAGGAATGATTATTATTGATGAGCTACAACCTTCAACACAAATTCTCAGGCAAATTTTACCTTTATTTGATTATAACTAGCCAAATTTTGCTTTTTCATTGGAGGAAAATCCATTAAATTATTTGAATGACATTTTTCCCGCCCATTGTGGAGATATGCTTGCCTGCTGTTGAACTCATTGATCTTCTGCTGCACCTTTGGTTTCAATTGCTCCAGCTCATTCACAGAATTTAACAATTTCTATAGCAAGAACCTTAAAATCAGATTACATCCAAGATTGTGTAACAAGTTATTATTAGATGACGAGATGAAACAAACCTTTCTCAAAGCTTCTTTCTTCCCTTGTGGAGATGATCTATAATCTCGGTGACGAGGTATTGTCTCAGAGACCAAACTAATACCAACCAAGGGGAAAGACCCTCAATTCAGTTTGATGAGCAAAATAAGAAATAGAATATAATATTGTCCACTTATTTTAAAACATTCAGCTGAAGACAGTACAAGCCATTTATGAGTCAACAAATACACAGGCCATTTAGTATTACCTAGAAAATCTTAGGAGCATGATATATAGATCAACAATATTCTTCTCTGCACGAAAGATATCAGCCTGCAACATCAATGTCAGATCATGCAAAGCAATTGCTGAAAAATTATCTTAAAATGAAAACACTACCGCATTAATGTTTCCAAATATAAAAAGACATTATTAAAACAGGATAATAAATTCGGCAGCAGAGAATAAAATATGAAATGTCAGTGCAAGCAATTAGCTGTAGAAGAACAAAATATGTAGAGTCAAAGACTGAATTATCACTGACATGATTCTTTAAAATATAGCATGGAATGATTTTAAGGAAAAACCAAACATAGTAGAATGAAAGTTGGATACTGAAATCCATGCATACAAATTTTTCACATCACTCACACATTTAAGTGCCTAACCTACTATCTGACACTTATACACTCAAAATCATATAAAAGGATAAATATTAATATTTTCAATTTCTCCAACTAACAGAGCTTATCAGCTTAGCTACGCACACATGATGCATCATCGTGCATTCTGGGTAGCTAGTTTTAACCGTGAGAAGATAGGCTTAACTGTATTAGTTCTAGGCTTCTGTTGTAAGTTCCTATCTTTCCTGACCCTAACCTTAAATACATTACGTATTCAACCTCTTGTATCAATCGTCTTTTCATTCAATCAATAACAATGAGTTTCTACTTCTATGAAACCCCCTGCCTCTACTTTGAGCTCTGCGGTTTGTGGCCACATCAAGATGGTGTCACCTTCATCACCTCTCTAAAAATAAATAACAACAAGCACACGATGTTGAGTCTCGTGAATATAACCTAACGTTCTGATAAATTCCAATGTAATAGTTGATTTGATGATATATCATAAAGGACAGTTCAAAATAAGCCATCAAGCAGTGAAAATTGCAATATCCAGCGAACCCTAACTTTGCCTCATCCCCTTTCCGTATACATTCAAAAGCAAAACGAAATGTCACAAAATCTCAAAATTCGTTTGGTGTTCATGGTTATGGAGAAAAGGAGAAAGACCTGTTTGAGGATATTGTCCGCGATCCTGTAGTAGAAGCGGAGAGCAATTCGATTATCGACATCAAGCTTCTGCGTACTCGCAGCGATGTTGATGGTCTCCGAAGAGCACCTCATCTTTTTTTTCTTTTTTATTTTCTTCCGCAGAGCAGGAATATTGGTGCTGATGCTATGCGTTTCCCTGTCGACGCAGCTCCACTCTCGGTTTAGCTTCGCTGAGTCGTCGACGTCAATGGCGGCTTCCGCACTCAGATCAGATCAGAGCATGCCATGTCTGTTTTGGTTTCTCGCGGGGTAAAAATGGTAATTCATAATTATTATTATCTTTTTTCGTCACTTTCGTAATACTGTAGTTAGTTGTTGTTGCATCACCCTCTAATTTTAATCCCAAGTGTTTTTCATTTCTAATGACATTCAAATCAGGAGAATATCCCATTATATTAGACTGAATTATATATTTAATTAAATAACAATTACTACTTATAAATATTTTATTTTTCAGATAGTAGTAATAAAAGCTTCTTATTTTAGGTTTTTAAGCGCTATCATATATTTTTTTATCTAAATATTTTTTTTATGTTATTGTGTTTTAAATAATTAATAAACGAGTACTTTAATAAAGTAATAATAACTTACATAACAACCAAACTTATATTTCCTAAAAATGTGTTTTGGTGGTTAGATTTAGTGTGGAATAGAGAGAAAGGAGATGAAATTAAGTTGATTCAAAAAGTAACATTTAATGGAATAGAGAGGAAATATCTATTTTGATTACTTTCTGTGTTATTTGTAAACTACTTTCTCATCATATATGCTTTTGTGAGGTATTGTGCTTTCTTCTATTGTTGTTGATCTCGTGAGTTATTATTGTGTCTCCTCTCTTTCCAACGAGCTTTACAACTCCTCTCACATTTCAACCCATTTTCATTCTCAGCCAACCTTCTAGATAGGGGTCTACAAAAAATTCAAATTGATCTGAACTGATTCATAAATGATCTGATCCGTATTGAAAAATCTGAATCGATATACTTTATAAAACCGGTTCAATTATCCGATCCATTTTTATAAATCAATTCGATTCAGTTTGATTTTCTAAAAAAATCAATCCATATGTGAGTAAAAAATGTATAACTGCATCGCACCGAACCGATTCAATTTCAAAAAAATCGATTCATATTTTAAAAAAATCAAACCAATTCACTTTATAAAAAGTGGATTAGTTAACCAATCTACTTTTATAAAAATGAATCGGTTTAATTCGGTTTGGATTTTTTAAAAAGTCAATCCATGAACATCCCCACTTCTAGAGCTCGAAGTAAGATTTTTGAAATTAATTTGTTGTTAAATGTGTGGTTCACTCATTTGGGTACTCCTCTTTAACTTACTTACCTTCTCAAGTAATTTTAAGTACTTGAAACACTATAATCAACTAATTATGATAAAATCATAATTCATTATAATAGCATGTTATTTGTACATTAGAGATCACTGTGATAAACTATAATCATATCATATAATCTATTCTGCAATATGATTTAACAAAATAATTATATATACTTATATAATTATATATTATATGTCTAAAACATAAACAAGAGATAAAATGGTAATTGTTTAAATTATGTATTTTTATATAAACTCTTAACTATATAAATATATTTTTAAATGTCAATTTCTTTTAATTCTCTCTTAATTTTATCTTATTAAAAAAATAAAAATTTCATTTTATTTCTTACATAATTTTTTACCAAATCATTTTTCCCATTTTCTTTTAATTTCCTATGTATTTCTTCCCCCCTCAGAACATAGCGTAAAAGAAAACTGAATTTAAACATTTGTCTCGGTTATGACGAAAACATATAATGTTATCGATTTGTATTTTTTATTAAAATTAAAATACCACTAAACTTCGAAATTTATTAGCAAAAGATAGAAAAGAGAAACGTTTCGTAGTTGTTGACATTGGCTGCTATGAATCTTGCGTGACTTGAACAGAGCAACATTGAGGTGTCATAAATTTCAAATTTTGATCCAAATCGAACCTCATTCAACTGTCGTGTCATCATCTCCATCAGGAAGATTAACAAAACGAACCCATCGTCTCTTTAATCACTGCATTGTCATTTTGCAGATCCCAAGAAGTTTAAGAATCAACTTCCACTCGTTCTTAAATTTACTTGATGAAACCAAACTGGGAGCTCAACAACTGCTGCAACCACGAGCAGGTGGTGTTTCTGGTCACTGTTGCTGTCTGCACTGTCGTTATACTTGCAGTATGTACTTCTCTGCTCTCCCACTCCGTTTTTCTTTTTCTGCATTGGATCCATAAAGAGGGGAACTTTACTAATGTACTTCTTCTGGGTAAGATCTTTTATTACATTGTACTATCTAGAAGAAGAAGGAAAAAAAATAAAATAAATAAACTTGCAACGTTGCAATGTCATTTTCTAAATGGGTATATACTGGCGGTGTTAACTTGCAAAGTTTAAATTGGTATGTTTAAAGTCAACAAAACCAAACTTCCTAGGAATTTTTTTTTCTTACTTTCCTAATTCTGTAGATTCATTGCTATTGCAATGCCTGAATCTGAATGGTTGGTTGTGTGAATCTATTAATTTGAAGTTGGCTTGAGTTTTATCCATCTATTGGAAGGATTTGTAATCGTATAAAAACTCTTGGCCTGTTAGTGTTATTATAAATGTGGGCTGTTCTGTTTAGTATCTGTGATTTCCCTGTAAATGTTTTGTAATTCCTGCATTTATTGCAGCTATGGAGAACAGTGTTACTCAGACCCTTTAAGCTTGTTACCGTATTTCTTCACGAGGCAAGCCACGCAATTGCTTGCAAACTTGCGTGCGGTCATGTAAGAGCTTAATTTTTGTGCTTTTGTTTATTTGATTAATATTTCTGATGTTGATAAAGTTTTGGAAGAGAACATAATTTTTCTGCTAGTTTATAATTGATTTACTAGATTCTGATTATATATATTGACCAATCTGTCACAATAATATCTCTCCGGTGTCTTTTTCATATTTTTCATTTTTCTTTGCCAGATGTTACCATATGTCATATCTTGACAGTGACCTCTAGTGAACTTGTATTTATTAATCATTACTCTTTCACTTGATTTTGGGATTGGTTATATTCAAATGCATATTAATCATTACTCATGCACTTGATTAAAATTATAGTCTTATTTTTTTTACGTATCTGTTGTGTATTCTCCTCATTTATGGAAGGCGAAATCTGTAAGAATTTTGTGTGAACTGTGAAGGGCTAAACACGTCTGCCTAGTGCCAAAAGTAAATTATTTTTTAAGACTTAGGATCGTGCATTAGTGGCCGACTGGTTTTTGACTTGTTACTCTATGAACATGTTTGGATACAAATTTAGAAAGATTTTTAAGAATTTTTCTTCCAAAAATTACTCTCTATTTTTAATAGAGAAAATTTCAAAAGTCTTTTAAAACTGTATCCAAATAGACTCTATATAATTTTTGTTTTTGTTTTTTTTCCATTTGTAACTTCTCTTTCTATTTTCCTTATTTGCTAATCAAATGAATGTACCATCCACTTTGTGATAATTTTGACTCACATTCCGTAGTGTTCAGTGTTGTTGCGGTACCTAAAATACTAATTATGGATCTTCTATATGGCTAGGTAATCCTCTTTCTGCTTGTAAAGATCAGGAATGTATCTTGTTTTCAATAAAGAATATCTGAGCAATTTCTCCTCTTTATTGACACTTCAGAAGAGAGATGCAAAATTAGAAACTTTTCCAACAAAGATCTATCTGTATAGCCATCTTAGTCAATTTTTTTATGGATCCTATATGTTTGGATATTGCCTAAATAAATGGTCCTTTTTAATTGTCAAACATTAGACGGCCCACATCTATTAGTTAATGGTATTCATTGATCACTTCCTCGACTGGGTCAACCTCATACGCTGAAGCTGTTAGTGCATTCAGGTTGGATGGGACTGAGGACAGAGCACTTGATTTGTTTGTTTAATAATTTCAATTTGTATTTTAATTTTGAGTCTGGATTGAATGCTCATAGATGATATAAGTTTGTACTTAGTTTGGTTATGGTCCTCATACTAGTTTAATTGCAGGTAGAAGGAATCCAGGTTCATGCAGATGAGGGTGGAACAACCCAAACACGTGGAGGCATATACTGGTTTATCTTGCCAGCTGGATGTATTGTCTAAACTACAATTATTGCTTATAAATTTTACTTTTTTTACCTTGACATGTTAATTGCATTTGTAGCTCTCATCATGCTACCGATTGGCATGGAAGAGCATTCAAAATTATCAAATCTATTCTCATGAATGCAATATTTTCTATTCCTATTGCCTGCATCTATCATGTAGCAGTTAATTTGTGTATACTGCTTACAACCTTCATGGAATACTACCATAGTTGCTATTATTTTCTGTAAATGTTTGGGTTTATTTGATCTTATTTGTTTTATCCTTGTATTGGTGATTCAGATCTTGGTTCATCTTTCTGGGGCATGGTATTGATACTCGCATCAACAAATCTTCTTACTGCTAGAATAGCTGCCGGTTGTTTTATTGCTGCTCTACTTATTGTCCTCTTCGTTGCCAAAAATGTAGGTGATGAACACTGCCCATTTTTTTAACCCATAAGCCTTGTTATTGGATGCTACAGTGTCTATTGAGAACATGAAAATTTAGAAACAGGTTGAACAGTTTATAGTATCTTTGTTAGAATGGAGATTGAGACATGATAACATGAAGCATCGTTGTTAAAATTCAGTAATAACTTACATGCTTCCCACCTTGCATCTCTGTGCTAGTGTGTGGGGAACTATGTTATAGGTGGAATATATGTGCATTTTCTGTGATGATATTGATCCATTGATATTCAATTCTTCATGCAGTGGACTCTTCGAGGACTTTGTATTGGTATGTGATGTGCTTTCATGCTTAAGTTCTCTCAGTTATAATGCTTCATGTTTCTCAACATATCATATGTTTGGATGTTGAGGCATCAGGATTCATCATTTTCCTTGGCGTGATATGGATCCTGCAAGAGACAACCAAAGTTCGAATACTACGGTACATTATCTTGTTCTTTGGTAAATACTACACCATTCTCTGTTAAGCATTCTTTGGTCTCTTGTTTATCTTCAGGTGGGAATCCCTGACTAATTCCTAACCCTGGTTAAAGATGATGATGTACTTTGTTCATTTTCATTGAAAATAAATCTTTAACTTCCTTTTTTTTCAAAAATTAAAATGCAGGTGTAATGAATAGCTTGTTTTCAGTGTATGGTATGTCTTTAAAAATATAGAATCAAGTTGATTTGGTGTTACATCTACCTTGTATGAAATAGTAAAATCCCTTTAACATGACAATTCAGATATTTATGATGATCTGATCTCCCGAAGAGTACATTCGAGTGATGCAGAAAAATTTGCAGAAGTGTGCCCTTGTCCTTGTACTGGTGTTGGATGGGGTGTTATTTGGTGAGGACATGTTATTAGAAAGAGTTTACTTTGTTGTTTCTGCCAAAGGACTTTGGTTGTGTTTTTCTACCTTTGTTGAGCCAAAGTAACCTGAAATCACATTTACATTGTGTTGTTTTGTTTGACCAATTCTAATTTCTATTTGCAGGGGTTTGATATCTTTTGTTTTTCTTTGCGGAGCTGTGTATCTGGGTGCTGTGATCTTGTCATAAATCATAAAAGTAGCTTCATTCTTCACCTATATTTGTTAGTTGTTAAGTAACAAATGGCATGCAGTTCATCTTAATCCTTTTTGACTTTTATGTCTAGGTGCAGGAAAGAAGATTCTGCTTCAAGTTCTATGATAACTGAAAAACAATGTCATTCAATTCACCTGGCTTTACTACTTTTGCTGATCAATTCTGAATATTGTCGTATCATTCATTCCTGATCACATTCAGGAGGGAAAAAATAAGATAAAAGTAGTTTCGAGGCTCTCCCCTAGTTGAGTATAAAGGTAACATATTGAAAAGCGTAACATATAAAGTAATATATTAAAAGTTTCACGGTTGACCTTTCATCTAATTACCTCCTTGCATTACAGTTTATTTACAACTTTTTTTTTCCTGGAAAGCATTACAACCTTCTGCGGACGATATCAGGCTGCGTATAGTGCAGATGATATTAGAAAATGAACTTGCAATTATGTTTGGCTTATAAATAACACTATATGAGCATTTTCTAGATTTATTATGTACATCAGTTTACTTCCTTTATATAATATTTTTTTTGGTGAGTAAATAATGATATAAAATATATATAAAAAATAAATGGGGGAGATAATATATGCTTGCTTTTTTTACTAAATTTTAAGAAACTGGAGAAAAGCAGGGAAAGATAAAGCAAAAAGTTACGAAATCAAAAAAACACAGTTGGTGAATAATTTAAATGGGAGAGATAATGAATCGATTTGTTATATATTAAATAATAATTTCCATGCAAAATATTTTTGTAATTAATTATTTGAGATTTAAAAACTAATAGCTGATTTATGTTTATTTATATAATCATAAAAATTACATTATAGAAAAAGTAGTTGATTTTATGATAAGATATTCATAATAAGTTGCAATTTTAATTAGATTTTAGATTATTTCAGTGTATGATTATTTTGAAAACTTAAAACAGACGTAATATTTTTTACAAGTGGTCATTTTTTTGTTAAACGTGATCTTTTAACTTTTTTTTTTCAAAAAAAAAAAGTAATATGATCTAGCACGAAACAATTTGAACAGAAACAAGACAAAGTGGGTACTAAAAACTTACGCTAAAATGTGAAAAAAAAAATAGAGTTAATCATCTGGCCATGTAAAGTTTTTTACACCGACAACCAATCATATCTTTTAAAATTATTTATTTTATTATTATTTTATTAAATAAGTAACTGACATGTCATTATCAAAAGATATAATTAGTTACCATTGTAAAAAATTTTACATTAACAGTGTAAGCAATGTATGGGAGATTAACTCAAAAAAAAAAATAACATCATATAGTAACAATCGATAACATTGTAACCTAACAATCGACATTTTTTTCGCACCATCAAAAGAAAAATAACAATATATATTTTGTAACAATCAATTGGCTTATTTGTAACCTATAACAAATTAGTTTTAATGCTAGATACTTTAGCAATAATTAACGATAAGATTTCTAAATTCAAATTTAAACCCATAACTTATTAACCCATATCAATGCTAGAACAGTTCTAGGCCAATAATTGATTTATAAATCAAACCTCTATTGATAAATCAAACAGTTCTAGGCCAATTATAAAATAACCAAAATCTAACTTCAAACAATTGATGGACATGTAAATACTTACTTCAATAAAAGTATAAAATTAGGCGTAGTTTTCCGTACTGTGAAATCCATGCAACAGAATCACTTCCGGAACAAAACATTTTTTTGAAATTTGCGGATAGAAGAAACTTAAGTTTATAATAATGATGATACTCCTACATTGACAAAACCAGACGTACTTTCAAAATTCAGAAAATGAATTCAAGATTTAAAGTCAATTAGTCAGACAAAATTTTAACCGGCATACACCATATGCAATTCAGCGAAGAAATTCAAAGGTAACAAAATGTAAATCTAAGCCTCTGTGACAGGATACTCAAACACAACATCTTTCCCCGAGAGCTTCCTGTACACTGCAGCAAAAGTCTCCAACTTGTACTCAGTGTTGTTTCTCTCCTTTGGGTCCAAGTAAACCTACAAACCGATAGCAAAGTTACAATTAGGTAGGCACAAATGAAAAATAATAAATAAGTAAACAAATGACAACAAATATCATAGACACATGCTCAACCATATAGCATGGCTAACAAGACTTGGACACTTGACTCTGAATATACAAAGTAACCTCAAAAGTGGCAACAATAGCCCTACCTTCATAATCTTGGATCCATCAATTCTATATCTAATTCGCTTCCCAACAATCTCAGCAGGCAATACAACATCCTCCAACATGGCTTCATGAACAGCAGTAAGAGTACGGCTGCGGGGACGTTGAGCAGCAGAACCTTTCTTTGGTGGCCTCAAAATCCTCCGGGTGGCAACCACAATAACATCCTACAAGTTTAAAAAGATTATAATTGCTAAATAAAAAATAAAACTGGATACAAGATTGGACCAAGAAATTATCAAGTTCAAGAAGCATTCTAAATGAAAAGAAAATATTTTGCACATGATTATAAGCGACAAATCTTCCACAGGCCAAAGGAATACTCAAGACTACTATACAGCACGGTAAGTAAATTGCACTCAATTCTCCAGGATGATGTTAAAACTTACAAAGGTGAATCAATGTTGTATTGTGTAAGCAACTCATTATTATTCATTAGCTTGACGTTACAATGAACAATTGGCAGTGATAAATGTCGAGACAGATGATATAATAAAGGCTTATCAAGTCATAATACGTGCTCTCAAGCAACCATCACATCAAAATGGTAAAGTAAATAACCATTAACACAATATCAAATGTATTCTCAAACTACCAAAATCATGTAACAACATATCAAGATAATTGTCAACAATATGCTAAACTTTACCTACCTTCCCACTAAACTTCTTCTCAAGCTCCCTAACGAGCCTCACATGAATCTTCCGGAAACCTTTCCTTAGTCTGTAAGGGACATGGATAACAACAGCCTTGCGGTTCCCAGAAACATCAACTTGCCTGCAGGTAGTAAAAATCACGAGTCACTGGACAAACAGAACACTAATCAAACTTCTTACACAGGCACAGAAAACCATGAAAAAGGCATACTTACACTGCAGAGTTTATGTATAGATCCTTCAGATCACTTTTAAGCTCCTGATTGGTGTTTTCAAGATCAAACAATGCCTGCAACAGAAAAAGTAAAAACAAAATAATCACACATTGGAAATAAATGTTGATGGATAGAAACATTTGATAATGGTTAAAAAATTACCTGCCCAACTGACTCTTCAAACTCAGTTGGTTCAGAGTCCTTGTCCTTGTGGATTTTCTTCCTTGATGTGAACATCTTCAAAACTGTACACAAACAACAGAACTTAAGCCTGGCTAAACAATATAAAGGATTCCCAACTTACAAAAAAATATTAACATTGTTATACATGTATGACTTTGAATCGCATCACAAAAATTAAAATCATAGTGCAAAATAGAAAAAAGGGTAAACCTCAATTTGAACATTCCCTAAAATATTCCAAATTTTCAAAGGATGCGCATTGCATTGAATTCCCCTAACCCCAAATATAAAACATGAAAACAGCCATCTTCAACAACACCCCCACTGTATGTTAACGCATTTCACTGGTTACCAGAAAACTTACAAAATAAAATGAATTCAAACAAAAAATAAAAGGAGAACTTTTCTTCTATGTCCCAATTATTCCAGCAATTGATTTGCAGAACGCGTAGAAAGGACAAATGGGTATCAAGCACACAACTTACCTCAGAAGAGGCAAGCCCCAATGGATCTGCGGCGAAGCGTAGAAGAAAAGTTAATCTCTGCTGATTCCGCAGTGCAGTGAAAACCCTAGGGTTTCTGATGAAGCATGTATTATAAGGACTTAATGAACGACTGGGATTTTACTTAATGTACACGTGGACGGTTCATATAACAAGTTTTAATATTTCCTTATTTTAAATCTTTTGGGCCTAAAGTCTTAGAATTTTTGGGTTCAATATTCTTATTTGAAATTGTATGGGCTACAATCCAACAGCAACTATAACTTATGGGCTTTTAAGCCCAAAATAATATCATGTTCAAATTTGCGTGCACACTAAAAAAAATAAAAAAAAATAAAAAGACTGGTCTGCACAAAGTCTGCACTTTTTCTAAAAGTTAAAATTTTGTATTAAAATTATGGACCATTTATTTTACATATGAGCTATACAATTGCTCATGTTCATGCGATATCTCGAGAAATGCTTGCTTTTTTGGTAAAAAAAAATATTTTACTTAAAAAAAATAGTGATACACTTTTTTGTTTTATACTTTCTTTAACTTATTTTTATCATTTGTAAAAACTTATATAAGTTTCATTATATTAATTGCGCTAAATAATTTTAGAATTTAATAAAAATAGTTTTCATATGATACATTTTGCATTAGCGAATATTAAAAAGAACTCACACAAATATGTGCTAAGATGATAGCTAAATAAATTCTATTTAGAGATTATAATATTCAAGATCTAATAAAAATATATATTTTCGTGTTGTTATATATATTCATCACGGTAGATAATACGATAGATAATACGTTACGTAAAATAAAACAATACAATATCTAAATTCTTAACTTTTTTTTACGCCAATCTAAATTCTTACTTAAAAAATAAAAATGGACTGTTGATTTAGAGAAAGGCTTATAAATTTATTGTCTATTTATTAAACAATATAAAAATTAATAAATGAAATTAGTCTTTTATTGTATAGAACAACCTCTTGGCTTGGGGATATTTGTTTTTTGTTTAACGTATCATTTTTATTTAACTTTTTTATATTTATTTTTCTTTAAATAAACTCTTAAAAATTTTAAAACATTTTTTTTATAAAAAAATAGCAAAATGGCTTTTAATAAAAATTAGCTTATATAAACTCTATTATCTTCGCATCTTATAGGTCCGGTGGCTTCAAATTAGAAAAATATTTTATTTTATTTAAACTTTAAATTTTGTTATTTTGGAGGTAATGACAAGTGTTGAAGGTGTGAGGTGGTTGGAGGAGACTTCATTTTTAATTTTTGAAAATATGATTATTGTGGGTGCTAGTCAATTCTCACACTCCAATTTAGTCCAACTCGTGTTTTCACATTGCATTGCACCCCACTTTAGCACATGGCTTCACTCTAAACAAACACGTATTTATTAGTGGGAAAAAGACTATCAACTTTGACAAATTACTAAATTAATTTCAAATCATTGAACATGTATTAAGATATATATGGCATGAGATATATATTGATTTATCAATAACCTCTCGAAAAACTTATCACTGCTTTTTTAATATTTTACCAATTTCATAAACTTTTTAATTGTATCATGTCTTTTGTTATCTTCCAAGTGTGTCCAACCATTTGTTAAGAAAAATATATAGATCTTTTAAATAAATTTTAATATTTTACAAAAAAAATATTATATATAATAATATACAAAAATGTCAACTTAACATATACTCTAATATATAATTTTAGTATTGATTTTAAATAAAATATAATAATATATATTATATATAATCATTTTCTAATAATATACTAACATGTATTATATTTTTGTATAAATAAAATTAATTTTTAATGATAAATATTATATTATATTATAACATGTATTATATTTATGTATAAGTAAAAATAATTTTTAACGATAATATTATATTATTATAAAATGTATCACTTCATAACCATTTATCTTATAATGATATTTTAAAAGATTAGTCATTAATTATAACTAAAAAAAATAAATTGTCTTACAATAAATTCTAGACATAGTGTATTAAGATAATTGAAGTGTACCACTCTTCTTTAAAGAGTTATTTTAGAGCTATTGAATTGAAAGTAAAAATATTGGTAATGATAGTATATGTTTGTAGTTTCCTTGGACAACGAAAGCATTCCATTTAATGATTATTCTTATTTTTTAAAAGCAAATTAACTTTCTAGTTATTATTATTATTTTATACTATTTTTTTTTTACTTATTATTATTTCAAATGCAAAAAAGTTTAAAGATACAATAAAAAATTACATAATTTTTATTTAATAAATCATATACATTAATTATATTTCTTAAGTTTTATGTGAAAATTATGGAGGAAGTAGAATTCAAAAACTTAAATCAGTGAAGAGTACTTGAGAGGGTAGTTGTGTTTTGCACCAGCGACCATTGACTTTGCTCAACTTAGGGATTCAATCTCAATCAATACAAATTACAAAGTAGTCATCTGAAGTCTGAACAGATGTACAGAAAACAATCACCATATGGATTAATTAATTTGGTGTAGCTAATCAACAATTCATGATAACAATAATGTCATCAAAGATAGCGTTTGGGTTATTCCAAAAACCAAAACCCTAAAGTCTTATTTTTGTAACTTGCTAAATTGCCAGAATTCATCCATGTTCCACATGCTACATGCAAAGTCGTTGTTTACCCAATTGGCTCCTGCCATTTGACAATCAGCAATTGGGTATTGCACATCCTCAGCCACCCTTGCAGTTGGCGTTTTGAAAGTGTCCATCTCATAGGCATTGTTATTTTCATGATAACCATCATATGTGAAATTTCCAAAGTCATGAAATTGGTTGATGGTGTGTCCAAAATGCTGAGGCACGTTTGGAACATTTGCTGACTCAGAAAAGGAGATGCATGAACCATTGTTGTGATCAGAGTCTGAGTAAGTGGGACCAGCTTCATTCATGCAAAGTCCCTGCCAAGGAGTTTGTGATGGCATGGTCCCAACACTTGAATGAGAAACACCACCTTGAGGCAGAGGAATTGCCTGGTTTTGAATTGACATGGTTGAAGAAGAGGGTGATTCTTTTACTTTCTGAAGCAACCTTGGTATCCAGAAACGCCTAACAAGTTCTTGAAACTCTCTGCTGTCGCTGTTAATTTTCAAATGCCTTGCTTGTTTCTGAATCCGGGTTCTCCAATAGTTCTTGATTTCATTGTCTGTCCTCCCCGGCAAATGTTGTGCAATTTTTGACCACCTAAAGTTATTAAAGTAATGAAAAATCCATAGATGAAATGATAATATTTTTTGGAATAGACAAGCATGTTGATAGTAACGAAGATATGCATCTTTGCTTCTACCATCATTTAATGGTGACAGGTTTTAAAAAACAGTATGTAGCCACAATTTCAGTGTAACTCAAGAATCAAATGCACAAGATAAGCACCTGTTTCCCCACTTTGAGTGGAGTTCAAGTATTAAAAGCTGCTCTTCTGGGCTTAAATTTCCCCGTTTCACATCTGGTTTTAGATAATTTAGCCACCTTAATCTGCAACTTTTACCAGTTCTCTTTAATCCTAACACAGAAAAGTGAAAGGAAATTAATTAGAATAAGCATGAAAGTTGAACTATAACCTACAGGGTGGTCTTTTATTTATGCATGTAACCTATTTGTTGATGTCAAGTTACCTGAACGTTTTGCCAGCAAATTCCATCGCCCTTCCCCATGATTAGAAATGTATTGGGAGAGCAAATTATCCTCTTCAAGAGTCCAAGGCCCTCTCCTAAGTTCATTTTCATCTTCACTAGAACTGCTGACGCTCTTTGAAGTAGACATGGCTATTCTCACCCACTAAAACTATAAAAACTAAGCATATATATGCAGGACCTAAGTGGGGTCAAGGGAGAAACAAGAGTTACAAAGCAAATTGGCCTACGCAAGATGCATAGTATAATATACTGTTACTATACACTGTATGTCTGTATCCCATTTTGGGGGGTGAGTTCAGGTCAAAGTGAAATACTATAGACTTTAATACTTTTCCAAAAGATAGAGCCTACTCATCATGTTATAAATTCCATACGACAGCTTCCATTCACCTTCCATAGTCATTGCTACAGGAAACACTGAAAGGTGGATAGGTTCATTGCTTCGCATCTTACCTTTATTTCTTGACAAAACGGCAGTTTATAAATTTGCAGTCAGCAGTAGTCACGCTAGGCACAATACTATGAAATTTACATCACAAGATTTTGCCTAAGAGCTACACTCATTTGTTCTCAGTCAAAGAAAGAACAGATTGAAATGAATTGTATTCCTAAATAATCACAGATATTGTTAATTCCATACAGGCATCAATAGAAGTCTTCACAATTCTTTGGAATGATGGAAAATGAAAGTTATGTCATATTCTTTCGGTTATTTAATGATAGTGTAGGAAGGTGCTGCTGCAGTGATTTCAACATTTACCCTTGAATTGTTTTGGACTCTACCTTCTTACTATTCTTTGTCAGTGGTTTTATGTATTCTTAAGAATCAACAATCAATCAAAGTGGACGAAAGCTAAGCTGTTAATTTTGGTATTATTGTGTTACAAAATGATATGGTTATGAGTAACTTTTATCCAAAATATGTCTCTGGTTTTCCACAAATAAAAGAAGTGAAATAGAAACTTTTTTTCTCTTATGGATATAACTTTTTTGTGTCTCACTGAATTTATTTAACAACGATAAATTTCTACCCTATTTAGGGTGGTAAGAAAAGAGAAATAAAAACAAAGAAGAAAAGTAATAGATATAATAAGTGATGTGATGGAAAAAGAAAAAGATATATAAGAAGAAAATGAAGTAGAGAAAAAAGAAAAAAACAGAAAATTTATCTTTCCTAAGTCGAGAAGAAGTAGTAGATAATTTTATCCAGTCTCTATCCTCTCAGATTCTGCCCATCTGCTCAAACAAACACAGAACTGCCAAGAGGCCAACGTGATTAACATTCTCTGTCATCCAAAATTGGTTCTTTTGAAAATCGATATTCTCAATGTGAGGAACAGTTCAATGCAGCCCTTATCTCAGAAACATAACTGTCATGAGTAATGAGATTAAGGCAAAGAAAAATGGATGAAGTAAATGTTTATTATTGGTCATAAGTCACGACAGGGACAGAAACGTGCTTGACTGAACATAAGAAAATATATTATATATTAATAAACTTACTCAAAACGTGTGGTAATTGGTGTTGGCATAATAAGGGGCGGCATGGAAAGCCTGCTAGGAATCTTATAACAGGACCACTTTTTATTTTCATTAGTTGTCACTTGTCGCATGATGTCGGCCTTAGCCCCGGAATATCTTTCTAGATAAATCACAAATCTTACCGCCATTTTATCTAACACATTTCTTCTAATACATTTTTCATTCAAAATCACTTTAGTAGATTATAAAGAGAGGGACATTACAAGGGATTTTAAGCATAAAAAATTTACGATTTTCAACAAATACTAAAGAGTGTCGCTAAATTTCGCTTGGTCCAAAAATTCTTATTTGTGTTCTGGAAAACAAGACGAATAATACATTTGAAAATAGAAAAGTCTGCTACGATTTTTCACTGCTGCTATGTTTGACTTAACTCACATGCATTAACTTTCTGCATTTTCTGTTGTTGATTATTGAGTTGAAGACAACCACAGAATGCGGTATGAAAGGTGGGATCATTACATTTTCTCAATCAAGTGGCCAATTATAATTAAAAGCTGAGGGCTGATGAGAGCTTACACCAAAAACTTGGTCAAGAAAACTGTAGGATGAGAGTTGATGTTAAATTGTCTCGTTCCATTCAAATTCAATGGGATAAGTTTGTCAATGATGGTTTCATTTTATATTTGGAAAATAACCAAATCTTTTCAGCATGTATATGTGCTGAATTTCATCTTGATTTGTTTGATTGCATTAAATTAATCACTTACCACGTAAACGATTCCTCAAGAGTCATAGTTCAATATTCTAAGGATGTTGGCCCAAAGTCTGACGATTTGAATTGGAGCCACTGTCATGTGTAAAGACACCAAACTGTTCCAAGAAATTGTTTAGAACAACTTATATACTTTACTTGATGAGATAAACACTTACGTAATTGTTTGGAAAAATTTGCTTATGATATGTTGTAAGTTATTTTTCAACTTATTTCAATAGTTTTTCATTGATAGCCTGTGAAAACAACTTGCAATTTGTATACAAATAGTTTAAATAAATTTATTCTTTCTTTGCTAACAACTAATACATGTGTTTATATGATAAGAATTTAATTAATTTGTTATGAATAATGTTAAAAAAATCATCTCATTTTGGAGCGGAGAGATAGAGATAAAAAATAAAGAGAGTTGCTACAGTACTCTCAAAGATCGAGGGATTTCAATACATTTTTCTGTGTAAACTCATAAAAGATTTAAAAAAAATAATTTAATTATAAAATGAATAATCCAAATTATATTTATAGAATAAAAAAATAAGATAAAATTATAGAGATTAAAATTATAAGATTTCAATAATATTATAAAATATTAAAAAAAGAAAAAATTAATAAATAATAGAAATAAAAAATTATTAAAATTACAATATAAAAATTCAAAAATTTACGACAAAAAAAACAAAAAGTAAAA